CGGCTGGGGGACAGCCCTGTGCCTTGGCTTGCCTGGCAGCGGCGGCAGCCCCCTCGCCCGAAAGCCGCAGAGTTCATAGTTAACAAAGGCTAGGACTCCTTTCTGGAATTTTCCCCCGGCCCCAGATTGCAAATCTCTACCACTGTCTAAATATAAAAACAAGGGAGAGAAAAATCTTTCGGAACTTTAAAAGAAGGAGAAAAATGTGCCCGCGCCGAAAAGCTGCAAGCGCTTTCGACTCCGCTGTCCTTTTCAGGACTTGAATGAGCCTAGCTGGCTTTTGTGCCTGGAGCTCGGCCCCATTTGTGCCGAGGGGACTTCGGAGAAGGTCGCAGAGGGGGAAGCCTGGGTGCAGGCAGGGCGGGGGCAAGCAGGGAGCCCAGCTAGTGTGTGGGGGTGCTGTGCCCCTTGTTGGAAATGCCCCCTCCCACCCCCAGGCTGCAGGCAGACTGTGCTGGTGCCGCCCGGGGATGAAAAGGGATGAAAAGTTTTGCATGGCCGGGTGTGGAGAAAAGCGGAGACAATTGGGCCGGTTTGTGCTTAGAAAGAAATGCATTGCCGTTTTAGCTGTCCGCCCGAGTCAGGGAAAGCTCGACATGCAATTAGAGGGCTTGGATTAAAAGGTGCTTTGGGGCCCAGGGTAGAAATGTGATTCTGGAAGGTCGTGGAGGCCTTTTGGTCCCCGTGGCACAAAATGACAGCGGGGGCTGTTATATTTCTGGTCCGTTTCACGGAGCCAGCTCTTTGACTTATAAATAACAGATTCAGGTCACAGGCAGCTCGTCCAAGACCAGCTTTTAAGGCTGCAGTTTCCCCTATTTCAAAGTCAGATGTCAGTGTTATTAGAGGAACCAGGCGAGGCCTGAGAAGGGGGCTGGGGGGGTATGATGGGAGGTTTGATAAAACCAGCCATGGCTACAGAGTAGCCTTATTTGTTCTTCCTGCAAAAGAAGAAAAGAAAAAAAATAGAAAAAACACATCGAGATTGTTAGAAGGTAGGGCCACGGAAATGTCGGATAAGAGGGGAATCATCCCTTAGTTGGCACAGCCACTCTTCTTGTTGAGTTGAATTGTTAAGAAAAACAAGTAAGCCAGTCCCCCTTTCCTGTGGAGATTTTGACTGTCCCATTAATGGGGAGACAGGGTGCCAGCAAAGCGTTGGACCTCAAGTTTCAAGGCTGAATGCCCTGTCCCTTGGAACTCCTCAGAAACGGGCTGCCCTTTGCGGCCTGCAGAGCACACGTTCGTTCTTCTGTCAGAAACCCGAGCAGAGCTTGCTTGTTTGCAGTGGAGGTTCCATCGGGGGTTGGATCAGATCATGCTTAGGTAAACACTGGCAAGAGGCGGTAGGTGGTTCAGCTCGATTTTGCAATGCCCTAAGTTAACCAAAACACACACACACACAAAACCAAAAAAAAAAAAAAAAAAAAAAAAAAACACACAAAAACAACCC